AGAGGGAAGAGGGAAGAGGGGTGGAGGGTGGGAAGAAATTAACCAAAGAAGTTATATGCATAACCCATGGACACAGATAATAATGCGGTGAAGGCTTGGGGAGGGGGGTGGAAGCCAGGTGGAGGGGGCCTATGGGGGGAAAAATGGGATACCCGTAATACTTTCAACAGTAAAGATAAATTTAAAAAATAAAAATAAAACAGATCCAGCTGGAAAAAATATAATATACTCTTAAGACTCCAGAGCCCCTAAATCTCAAGCAGCACTTGCAGACTTCTTAATCTCAACTTTGAAGAAAGTTAAGATTAGTGTTTGCTAAAACTACTCATTTTTATGATTGAGGTAAATTAATCATATGTATTCATTTGCATACTTGGTAGGTATTCTGAGTACAGCTCAGTTTATGAGGTCTAGGGTTTGGCTACCACCCTCCCCGTGCTCCCTAAGATGGTCAGGAAATAATATAATTAAATAATTCTACCTGAAGATACTAGTTGGTTAGTCTCTGGTACATAAAGCTTTTCAGTATAATTCCCTCTCTTCCAGAACTGATCTTATCTTTACTTGTCTCTCTGTAGCAAGCCTCTTTCTACAAAGATGATTTTGTCTTACTTTAGCTTGAAATCTTAGACTGAACAGACGGTAACACTGGAGTGAGGATGTAGGCTGGGTTTTGGATTTGTATGTGGAATAACTATTGCAAATCTTTTTCAGAAAATGAACATGATCCTACTACCTGGCTGGCGATTACTGAACAAACAGCAGGTTACAAGGTTTACAGGGCTGGCAAGTTTTTACTGTTTCCCTTTAAAATCCTAAAAGTGGCAATAAATTTTTTGGCAGCATATCAAAATGTGGCATTCCAGATGAGGTGGGACTTAACTCTGTCAATGCCAGTCTCAGAATCCCACCTACACCTCCTTCCAGTCAGTAACCAAGGATTTCTATGGGACAGGCTAACGAGTAATCCCACCTTCATTTGTTAGTTTTCAAATCGTTTCATCTCCACAATACTTAAGATAAAGTGTGTATATCACCATTTCACAGATGAGAAACTGAGGCTCTGGCAAAGTTAAGCCTGCTTTTAACTGGAGCTGAGACAAGACCCCTGACCCAGCCTGAGAGATTAATCCTAGCTCAATTTTCTGAAATAGTACCTTGCCTTCGGGAAATAGTATTATTTCACAGATGAATTTAAAATTCCACTTCACAGTGCTTCCTTAGAGATTAGATTCAAACACACACCTGCATTTTAAACAGTTGGAACATAATTAGGAGTAAAACAGTGTAAGATTTTACTTTAATTTTAATTGACATTTGCTGAAAAGCACAGAACAGTTAACATTTGAATGGCTCAATGTCAGGGTTACAAACGAAATCCTTAAGTCAGAGTTACAGAATCCCACATTAGTTATTTCACATTAAGTGCAGGTTGTTTAAAAAAACAAAACAAAACAGTGCTGTGTTTGAATGGAGCACAAGACAAGCACTTCAGTTTAATAATAAAATTAAACCTAGCACCTTTACAATAAAATAAATACTGATAACCACTTTGTAAGTATGAAATATTTCAGTGGTGGGGGGTATCCAGTTCACCAACAGTGCAAACAAATAGCAGCATTTTCTACGTTGAAATAAAATTTGTGTAAACACATATACACCCGCCACTCTGCCTGGTATAGTGAGTCCTCCTCACCCAGGGCCGAAAGGAGTTCCTGCTGAGTCTGCTAGATTCCAAATCTGAAAAGCTACCACAAGTTTTAGGCCAAGGGCTGGAAAGATTTAAGTGCAGTACAAGGGAGATCGTACGTTTGAGCAGGAAGGAGTTCTTTTTCAGATGGGCCAACTAGAAACATTTCCAATCCACCCCCAGAGCCCTCCAGCCTAAGGGTACACATGATCATAGGCCTACCTGATGTGACCCCGACTTCAGTGAGGGTATCTGAGTGCAGAGCTGGATGCTGCATGAGTGATGGCCTAAGTTTCCCACAGCGGACACTGCTTTGCAAGCAAAGTACTTTAGGCCAACTCAGTATAATTAAAAACATTTGTGATTCTTAACCTAATTGTCACCAGATGGTTCTTAAGTAGGGCATGTCTGTCTATATGTTAAGTATTCCTGTTAATCTTTTCAAACATTAACAATTAGTCCTTTCCAATGTGGTTTTTATGTCACAAGGTTACCGTGTTTCTTTTTCATAAGCACTCCAGCTTAACACTAAACTTTACACTGAGCTTTAGGTCTTACTTTTAACAAGTATAGCCACATATAAAAAGAAATACTAGAAGCAGACTCAGTGGCCAATTATTTGCATTACAGTGTTAGGGAAAAAATAGCTGCTAAGTGTTTTTTCTAAATCAGAATTTACCAACTGTCCAGACCAAAGATCATTTCCAAGCAGGAAAGTTCAGGTTCCAGCTTCTCCACTGACCCGTGTGCAACACAACTTATTCTTTTCCCAAAGGCTTGTAGAAGAACTTGCTTGCTCGGCCGTCATCGACGCCGAATGGGCTTGTAGACACAAAATGCCATAAGGATCATGGTCACCAGCAGGATGCTGAAAATGGTTCCCATCAACACTGCAAAAGGAATACAGGTTACCTCCTAATGGCAGCTCAAGGTTCTGTAAGTCATTCATTCATTGGCGATGATTTACCAAATGCCACTTGGTTCCAGGTGCGAGGGGAAACTGCCATGAACAGACCCTCTCTCTGGAAGTCTCCATGTATTTGGGGGAGAGAATGTAAACAAATAAGAGCATTTCACATAGCCTGAAGAGCTACAGTTATGTGACAGTGATGGGGGAGGGGTAGATATGGTGGTGGAGGAAGCATCTAAGGTGGGGACACAGGAGCTGAGACCTTAATGAAATGAAGGAGCCGGCTGTGTGAAGATTTGCAGGATGAGCACTGCAGGCCCCAGGATCAGCAAATGAAGGGCCTTGAGGCCAGAGCAAGCCAAAAAGCCAATGGCAAGTGTGGCAGAGGCGGGAACAGTGAAGGTGAAAGGCAGGAAATGAAGCCAGAGAGGAAGGTATTAGCTTCACGAATCTACTATGTTTTTGAGAGTAAATTTCACGACTAAAATTTACAATGTGCTCAGGTGAGAAGTGGGACCTACAATTGATAACTCAAGTTGACCTGTGGTACAGGCCTAGATATAAGGACCTGGGCTTTAAACTAACATTACCAGCAACCTGCCGGGAGTGACACGCACTCCCGACTGTGTGACTATCTCAGAGACTGTGGGAGTTCAAAATGGTGTTACTTTTAACAAGCAAATATACGTTTATGTGTCTCTAAGTATGTGGGCCCATCCCTGGTTCCAGCTTGGGGCCTAACCATGGTTGTTTACCAGTCCAGTTACTGTTCCTCTAAAACTCCAAGATTTGGCCATAGTTTTATCTAAATCAGTAAATTAGGGGTATTTGTGAACCCCCCAACCAATTCCTCCATACTTAACCCAGTTATTATTTAAAAACGGACCAGATAGAAATCACATCTTTTTTTCAGTGAGAAGAAAGGATGAAGGTGACAAAGACAGTGCGTCACAACTCCAAAAGGACAGAAGTAATACAGGAAATGCGCAACCAGTATCAATTACCGTTACTGCTATGACTATTGCCCCACCTGGGAAAGAAGAGGGGGTGGGGTATATACCACTATGCGCCCTGTTGCCTAGCCTGGGCCCACAAAGCCAGAGAGGAGGGGACCCAGATTGAGACCCAGGTCTCGGGCCTCGCAGATCATTCATGCAACCAGCACGTGCTGAGAGCCGAGTGTGTACCCGGCCTTGCGCTGAGCGGTAAAGCTCAGGCCGTCTTCCCCAGGCCTTTGGAGAGGTCGCACCCGCATCCCCAGCCCCCAACCCTCACTCATGCCCCGCCGCCCGCCCCGCGCGTGCCAAGGCTCCCGGTGCCCCGAGAGGCGGAAACGCAGCCCGCAGCCGCTCACCCAGATTCTGCCCACGCAGCACCGCGAACGGCCGACTCTGCTCCAGCGGCTCCATCGGGCTCGGCGCCTTCACCTGCCCCACGAGAAGGCTGCACAGGCCGAGGCACAGCCGCCACCGCCACACTGCACCAAGCATCTTCCCGGGCTCGTAGCTGCAGAGTCCACTCCCGCCGGAAGTCCCGCCTCCCCTTCCGTCACTGCATCCGCCTGTCAAGAGCGCCGTTGCCAGGGTAACCGTAGTGCCGCCTCCGCACTTCGCTCCGTTTCGGCAGCGGCCGGCTTTCTGCAGGATCGCTGTCCCCGTGGGCAGTGCCCGCGCCTCTCTCCGTCCCGCCAAGCCCAACTTTCCCCCTTCCTTTGAGCTCCAGACCTCTTTCCTCAGAGGTCTCTTAGGTCCAAGCTGGATCTATCGAATATTTTTTTTTAGAATTCGTGCAGATAAAATCGAAGCAGTAATTTTAAAAAAACGAAACTCCCAACAAACAAGAGTCCTGGACCGGATGTCTTCACAGGTGAATTTTTAAAAAAATACTTTGTTCTTTTATTTTGATCCTTCCCCGAGGATAATCGATGCGAGAAACACTGATCGGCTGCCTCCCGCACGCCCTCTACCGGGGGTGAAGCCTGCAGCCTGTGTGCCCCAACCGGGAGCGGAACCCACAACCTTCTGGTGGGTGAGACACTGCGCCAACCAACTAAGCCACCTGGCCAGGCCATCAGTTGCATTTTTATACACCGGCACTAGCAGGAAGGGAAAATAAGAAACAATCCCATCTACAATTGCATAAAAAAATAAAATAAAATACCTAGGAATAAATTTAGCCAAGGAGATAAAAGACCTGTATTTGGAAAATTATAAGACACTGAAGACCCGGAAAGACCTGGGCGCACTATCATTCAGGGAAGGGTGGAGTTCCCCACTCAGGCCTCATTAAACTAATAAACATATCACATGTCACAGAACAGGGAACTGAGGATAGAGCGGGGCTAAGTCACTTTCCCAAGTTCATGTGGCTTTCAGGATGATTTCACACAGATCATCAGACACCAGCTCCCATGCTTAGCCACTGTGCTGTGCCGACTTTCTATATTGTCTCATTCAAATAAAGTCCTGTCCGCACACGATCAGTGTGCTGGGTGTTTTCAGTGCATACCACACTGCAACAACATTGCTCTTCTAAGCCCAACTCAGAACCAGTTGGGTCCACTAGGCAGCTAGCTGGTGAGCAGGGAGAAGGGAAGTGTGACCTGGGAAGGAATTAATACTTCACCGTGGTCTTCTGCCAGCGACATGTCAATAGTTCTATTTTGAATGTATTTCCAACATAAGGGATTCAAACACAGGATTCACAAGGAAGTCATCTGCGGTCAAGAGAACCTACTGGTATCCTCAGCAGTGGTTCAGCAGCATGGAAATGGGCATCTGCCCAAATGACAGGTAGAGGCACAAATGTCTCCCCACCACCCGCTCCACTGAAGGTGGACGTGCAGGAGGCAGCCAATTGCTGTTTCTCTATCATCGATGTTTCTATCTCTCCCCCTCTCCCTCCCTGCCTCTCTAAAAAATCAATAAAAATATTTTTTATTTAAAAAGAATGGAAATCTTACCATCTGTGACCGCATGGATGGACCTAGGAGGTATTATACTAAGTGGAATAAGTCAGAGAAAAACAAATACCATATGATTTCACTTATATGTGAAACCCAAAGAACAATGTAAACGAACAAACAAAACAGAAACAGATACAGAGACCAGACTGGTGGTTTCCAGAAGGGGAAGGAGCCGGGGGACTGGGTGAGAAAGGTGAAGGGATTGAGAAGGACAGACTGGCAGTTACAAAATAGTCACGGGGATGTAAGTACAGCACAGGGAATATAGTCAGTAATATGGCCATAACTGTGTATGGGGCCGGGTGGGCACTGGAAATACCACGGGGATCACTTTGTAAAGTATATGATTGTCTAACCACTATGCCATTCACCTGAAACTAATACAAAATGATATTGATGAACTGTATTGATTCAACAAAATGATGAACTGTAATTGAAAAAAATAAAATAAATAAATTTAAAATAAATAAAGTCTGTTCTGTCTGACTCAAGTTCCTGTGGCTCATCCCAACTGTGAACTAGTCCCTTCTCTTTCCGAACCTGTTTGTATGACAAGGTGGGGTGATTGGATTGACCTACCATCCAACTCTGACCTACTGGGAGAGTTGCCTTCTCTAAGGGCAAAACTCAAGCCAATTTCAGTTTCCAAACGTCATGAAAAGGAAACTCAAAAAGTTGAGAATCGAAACCAATAGCAGCAGAAAGGTGGGCCAGAAGCCAAGCCTATTAAGGTGGCCCCAGTCCTTCCAGGCTCAGCTCAGTGTTCTCAGCGCCTCTGCGACAGCAGGGGGCCCTCAAGAAGGGAGCCCCAGATGGGCCCAGTCAGTCCTGATTTCCTCTCTGCTATGATCTTTTAGCCCAACAGGGTGTTGTTAGAAGATAACTAAGGAGGAGCTGCCTTAAAGAANTAGTCACGGGGATATAAGTACAGCACAGGGAATATAGTCAGTAATATGGCCATAACTGTGTATGGGGCCGGGTGGGCACTGGAAATACCACGGGGATCACTTTGTAAAGTATATGATTGTCTAACCACTATGCCATTCACCTGAAACTAATACAAAATGATATTGATGAACTGTATTGATTCAACAAAATGATGAACTGTAATTGAAAAAAATAAAATAAATAAATTTAAAATAAATAAAGTCTGTTCTGTCTGACTCAAGTTCCTGTGGCTCATCCCAACTGTGAACTAGTCCCTTCTCTTTCCGAACCTGTTTGTATGACAAGGTGGGGTGATTGGATTGACCTACCATCCAACTCTGACCTACTGGGAGAGTTGCCTTCTCTAAGGGCAAAACTCAAGCCAATTTCAGTTTCCAAACGTCATGAAAAGGAAACTCAAAAAGTTGAGAATCGAAACCAATAGCAGCAGAAAGGTGGGCCAGAAGCCAAGCCTATTAAGGTGGCCCCAGTCCTTCCAGGCTCAGCTCAGTGTTCTCAGCGCCTCTGCGACAGCAGGGGGCCCTCAAGAAGGGAGCCCCAGATGGGCCCAGTCAGTCCTGATTTCCTCTCTGCTATGATCTTTTAGCCCAACAGGGTGTTGTTAGAAGATAACTAAGGAGGAGCTGCCTTAAAGAAGGGCGTGTATGCCAGGAGCGGGGTGTGTGGCTATATATCTGTCAAGCAGTGGTACTCTCAGACAGAGATGGCACTGTCCTCGGATCTGTACGGCACCCCTGCCTCCAGGCTGGACTCCTTCGTGGCCCAGTGTCTGCAACCCAGCCGGGAGTGGAAAGAAGAGGTGCTGGACGCTGTGCGGACCGTGGAGCAGCTGCTGAGGGAGGAGACCTTGCAGGGAGAGTATGGGCTGGACCAGGAGGTGCGGGTGCTGAAGACCGTGAAGGTGAGACCCAGCATGGGGGTCCTTATCCCTGAGGATGCTGGGGACCCCTGGCCTCGTAATCTCTCGCCCATGCTGCTGACATCTCAGGACACCCACCTTAGCTGTCTGCACCCCACCACAATGCGGGCTTGAGCAGAACAATCCAGTAAGGAAGCTAGTAATAGTTCACTTTTGGGGTGCACTAGCTTAATCCCTTAACACATATTGTCTCTAACTTGTGCACCTTGTGAGGCAGGTACAGTGCTTTTCCCATTTTAAATTTATTTTAGAGAGAGGGGAGAGAGAGAGATTTGTTGTTCCACGGATTCGTGCATTCCTTGGTTGATTTTTGTACGTGCCCTGACCAGAGATCAAACCTGAAGCCTCAGCTTATCAGGGCAATGCTCTAACCAACTGAGCCACCCAGCCAGGGCCGGGGAAATTTTAATATGACCTGGATATTAGATAATATGAGGGAATCACTGTCAGTTCTGTTAGGTGTACAGTTTTGCAGTTATGGGGGAAATGTCCTCTTTCATTGGACACAAATGCTGAAGTATTTAAGGACAAAGTTTCTTGGTGTCTGTAATTTACTTTAATGTGGTTTAGATGAAGCAAATGTGGTGAGAAGTTTAGATTGGATATATGAGTTCATTGTAGTTTCTTTCTATGTTTCTATGTTTTACATTTTTGATAATAAAAAGGTGGTGGTGGGTTTTTTCTTTTCTTTTTTTCATGAAAGTACAGGAAGGTGAGGTGACTTGCCCAAGGTCACACAGCTAGTGGTAGAGCTGGGATTTGAACCAGGGATCTATCTGACTCGGCAGCCAAGGCTCAAGGGTGCCCCAGTGAGATTTCCCCTCGAAGTCCTTCTTCCAGCTCCCTCATGTCACCTCCTGTCCTTGCTAGGATCAAAATTCAAGAGGGTCAAAACCAGAAAGGCCATAGAGAATCCTACAGTCTCAGTCAGTCCCTTGTTTAAACATTAAAGAAACCAAGGCACAGAGAGGGTGAGCGATGTCCCAAGGTCACACAGGAAGCTGGTGGCAAAGGCAAGACTAGAATCAAGCCCTCCCCCCCCCAATTCTAGTTTCCAGCCCAGTGCTCTATCCTCTCTCCAGGGGCAGCCACCTCAGGGAAAGATTTAGAAGCCTCAGGCCCCCATCTCTTCTTTCTACCCGTCCCCAGCATCTGAAGCTTGAGGTCACGTGATTTAGACGTGAGAAACCGCACATTTCGACACTAGACAGATGTAGGTGTGATTTTTGGTTCCTTCCCTTATTGGCTGTGGCCATAGGTGTGGCCATAGATTTACTACATTCTCTCTCATCT